CCCCCCCGGGCCTCTTCCTTGTTCCCTGAATCACTCTTCCTGCAACAAATCCTGTTCTCTCCCCACTTGCCCCTCCCCCCGTTATCAGCCCTTGCGTGCACCTGAGCCCGTCGCCTCCTTACCAAAAACTCTGAAACCTGTTGAGCCCCCCCTGCTGGGCTCAGCCTGGAGGTAATTGAAGCAGGAAGTTATTTGACTGCTCATGTGATTACCTCCAATGCGGTCTTGTTGCTCTCGTCACAAACACAAATCCACCCGCTTCCTCAGCGCACGGTGCTCGCAGGCTTTACTTGTGTGCTCTGGTTTAGCGGCAGCTGACAAAGATGCTATTGTTTGGCAGTCGTGAGTCTTGGCGGATGTCTGAATACCTGCAGTGTAAATGTTTACCAGCATGCTCTGACTTCTTTTTGTACTGACACGATGAGGCCATCTATAAAACCAGCCTGTTGAGCCACATTTGCTGGGCTCTAAAATGAATGCAGTGATAGACTGTGAGATAAGAACGGGTCAATATCCTTTATGGAACAATAAAATATGTTCTTACAGCGAAAGAAGACACCATTGAGTCTCCTTGGATTGAACTGCTCTGCAGAATTATACCAGCAAATGAATGATGGAGCCTTACAGTGAATGCAGCTGTGCTGCAGTGTGTAAGCCGTGAGGAAGCAGACTGAGCGATGGCAGCATATCAGCCGTTGCTCTTCTCTGGTACAGGTGCACTGTAGTAACTGCTTTGGCCTCAAGCCGCTTTATACTTTATACTGGAGTAATAGAGAGAAAAGCCCAACAATGAGACAACCCCCTAGGAGCAAGCACTTGGTAACAGTGGAAAGGAAAAACTGTTTGAACAAAAAGAAACCTCCAACAGAACCAGGCTCAGGGTGGGAGCCTGCCTGCTGTTACCTCTTCAAACCGCTTTGCAACCCACCCCACCCCAGCACCTCCACTTCATGCTTTTACTAACTTAATGTAACTGACACCTGCTCATATCTGTGCTGGGGTCAGAGGTCGGTGCGGTGCAGTATAAAAGAAGGAATCTGTGCATTTTTATGCCTCGTGCTTCTCACGTATGTATACAGAAGGACCAAGAGGTCAAGGAGCGCCAAATATAAATCATGAGAGGTTCTGTTCACCACCTAAATAATATCTGAACACTAAGACTACAGAACCACAGACACTAACAGACACGTAGGTGGAGCCTTGACAGTGTTGGTGTAATCATGTCCAGTGTCCAGTTCGTTATCCCTGTTCATTTAAAGGTACACTGTAAAGTGTGTGCACCCACTGCGAGCTGTTTTAGTGACACCACTGGGATTGAGTGTTCAGTTTGACAACATGCAGAACACATCACCAACGACACGTTTAGGAATAATACTTATATACAAGGTAGTAAGCCAGAGGTTTTACTGTATGACTGGAGTACTCTAGTGTACTAATAGTAGTGGGGACGGATCTGAGAGGCATTAGCAGGAAAATAGGGCATTCCTTCCAAATTGGTGGAAATTGCAGTGACGGTAAATGTTTCAGTAATCAGGACAGTTTGGCTGTTGAGGAAGCCAAAAAAGAAGCAGTCAAGCCTGTGAGCGCTAACGGTGAGTGTGTGCTGGCAGGAAGTCAGGCATCGCTGCAGGCGGTTAAATGCAATGAAGCTTTTGTTTGGTGCAAAACAGGCCAAAGATAGCGAACTGTCACGCCACGACATGCTGTCGTCTCTGCTGTCTCACACGTTTGTCCTTGAAGCTTCGGCGGTCATCAGTCAGCCGGAACTCAGGTTGTAAGTAAGAGACCCCGAAGGTCACAGAAACGCCAGCTCAGACTTCATGACTGTCGCCGTCGTTTATTCTTGAAGTTTTGGTGCACTTTTGATAATATTGATCCCAAAGGTCCACATGTAGAAAACTCCAGAGCAGTTTGATTGTGCAACTCTGAGACTCTTTAAATAGCTTTAAATTATTACACTGCACAGGGCTGCGTTTGACTTGAGAAACAATTTAAAAAAGTGAAGGTGTTCTCACAGGTGCAGCAGCCGGACATCCATGCAGGCAGAGCAGCCTCCTAACAACATTATTCTCTTTACTCTGCGTGCTGTCACATGACTGCTGTCACTGTGTTCAGGCTTAAATGAGGCGGCGGCCTCTACTGATAAATCCTAGAATCCTAAATTTTGTTCCAAAGTCTTCTAAAAGTCGTGTCTGTGTGGTGTGATTATAATTACATGACATATACGTATACAGCTGCATAAACAGTGACAAGTTCAGTTTCCTCAGAGCTAAAAGAGCCGTGCAGAAGCTTTTAACATGTGTTTCTCTGCACCGTGTCCCCCTCTTTCGGTGCTTGTGCACACTCTTGCAGTTTGTTCACACGTGATTGGCCCTTGGCTCTTTCTTCCTGCCTGTTTGTCCCAGTGTAGAACAAGGCCTCCATTGATGAGGCCACTGAAGCTGTGGGAGGTGTCCAGAGTAGAGTAGAGCGAAGAAGAGTAAACTGTGTGTTTGAGGGCCCCGGATGCTTTCAGTGGTCCAAACAGACACAAACCTTCAGTTGCCACTTTCACGCCCCTCAATGGGACTCTGAGCGGAGCATCAGCACGCGCTCAGAGCCAAGTTGGCTCGCCCACAAAGAGCCGCTGTGGCCCATTAACGATGTGGGCGACCAGCCCACTCACCCCGACCCAGATAGTATCTGTGCTTGCAGCCAGTGCTGACGGCTGGTGATGATGTGCAGCGTCGCTCACAGGTACACAGCTTCTAATGCTGACCTCCAGAGAGTCAGCCGCAGCATCACGCCATCATAAACGTTCTGCACGCCCTGCAGTAGGTCTTCATATAATGTTGCTTACCTGTGACGGCCCCAATCAGAAACAGAGTTTTTATAAAGCGGCAACATCCGTGAGTTTCTACCAGCGATTCAGAGAGACTGAAAAAGGAGCTGATGGCGCTGACATGAAGCTCAGACCTGCACTGAATGGGCGACGAGGACAGTGGGCGGGGCTTGGGGGGTGCTAGTGTTAATATTCAGCTGAAGGTTAATACTGGGGGATGATGAAGGACAGGTTGGCTTCATGCCTGTAAGAAGACTGTGATGGAGGGATGAAGGAGCAGTCGTGCTCGGTTATTATAGAAAGAGAGAGTTTTTAATGGGAATGTGAGCGTGCCGTGTCGCTGTCAGCTTTAGTCGAGTGATAAATGTACAGTATGTTGACCCGGCCTGCATGTTACTCTTGTACAAACATCCATCAGCGAAGTGTTAACAGCTGACAGAACGTAGATTAAAAACTGGCGCATTCATCTCTCTGTGAGCCCTCTCCCGTGTTTGTGTTTTTACTACATTTGTACATCCGCCTCGCCGTCGTGCACGCGCACAAAGTGGCGCTCTATGTCTACGTCATGAAGACACTTCTGAAACCTTTTGATTTTCTTCCTCCTCAGCTGAAGAAGCTGCTGCTGACGCCTCCCAACATGCCTGCAGGCATGGACGTGCACAAAGAGGGCGTGAAGGGCCATCGCTACTGCAACAGAAGCTTGCGCCTTCGTCCAGTCAGGCCTCTGCTGAAGGTGAGACACTTCCTGTCAGTACGTGCTGTTTAAAAGTTCACTACTTGTTGAATTAGGTTTTCAACAGAGCAACGAATTATCAAACTTAAATTCTCCAGTCTCTGGATTTTTACAATGAGTCGACGCAGTACTCATGGCTGCGTAGGTAGTAGTACATCAGCAGTAAATGGTACAGTACGAAGCAGTTTTTACAGATTGTTAAGCTGTAGAATAAAAGCTTGCAGAGACCTTCCCGAGGAGAGGATGCTGTTGATGCTGGACAGAGTTCACAGAGCTGTGGCTTTAGCTTTAGAGCCGCGTAGCTGTGCTGTGGCAGATGGTGTGAGGGCAGCAGTGAGTTATGTGGATAATCCACAGCTGCACGCAGCACAGACATTAAACGTGAGCCTCTGTGCAGGGCAGGAAACCGCTTCCATGTTTTGTTGTTTGGGGCTTCATTTTTCATTTCCAGGAACAGCTGCAGACAGGAGAATGAAACAAAACAGTTCATCTGAAGCATCAGGATGTAGTGGAAGACTACAGGCTGCTGTAGTTGCATCCTTCATTACTGCATAGCAGGCCTTAACTGTGTTAGGTCACAGCACCGATGCTACAAGGGCTGCAGACCAAAAAGTTGTTCCACAAGCTTTTAAATATCTAGGCACAGAAAGGCCTTTTGACTTTTCCTTTCTTGTCCTTCAGATCGTGTTTTTGTTCCCTCCGATGGCTTGTTTTCTTTAAAATCCAGCTTCCAAATTCCATCAGATTCTCTGAGCCACCTGAACATGCCGTCTACCAGCACACTGGCGTCAAACACAAAGCAATTCTGAGAATTGTTGTAGAATTTGAGTCTAATTACACTGATCCTTATCATCTGTTGTGATAACAATCACAACAGACTACAGCTACTCAGTAGCATTGTGAGGTAGTATGGCTTCAAAATCATTTATGGCACTGATACTGCCTCCTGCAGAGGGAAACAACATCGATTGCCATGAATACTTAATAAAGTTACGTTATAGTACATTTTTACAGTGAGCCGAGCTGTTTTTGCTCAGCGGTGCACACACAGAGCTGAGCATCATCATATATCCCTCGCATGTTATTTTTTCCTACATGCTCACCTTGTTTCTCAACCTCCGGTTTATGCTCTTGGTAGACTGTGGTGCTCATTCGGGCAGTGCTTTTTGCAGGTTGTTGGTAGACACGCCCCCACTGCCATGTTTTTTATCCTGTATGCAGAGCACTTCCTGTTCTAACCGCTTGTTTGTCTCCATCTTCAGAGTGACGTTCCTCAGGAGAGGAAGCCCCGGGCGGTGCGTCCCGCTGGGCGTCTGTGCACAGAGCTTCACCGCCACCTCACCACCACGGAGGACACTGCGGCTCCTGACACGGAGGAGGAGGACGAGGAAGAGGAGGACGAGGACAGTGAGTCTGAGGAGGAAGAAGAGGAGGAGGAGTCCTCCAGCAGTGAAGCGGAGGGAGCGGCAAGCGTGGCCGCTGCCCCCGTTGAGGCACCGAAGCCTCAGTTCAGCTCAGAGAAGGAGCTGCAGTCTGTGGTGGAGCTGATCAGGTACATGCACACCTACTGCCTGCCCTCGCGCAAGCAGCAGGGCTGGGATCGTAAGGACCGTGACTTGCTGCGGTCCCGGGCCCGACCTGAGGCCCCCCGCTCACCTGCCACAACCTCTCACAGTAGAGTGGTACTGGTGGCTGGTCCCGGGACCGGCGGGGGCTCGACTGGGTCAGCCAGCACCGCCACCAGGAAGCTCCCCTTCGCTCGGCGAAGGGAGATGAAGGCAGACTCCCTTCTCCGCACGCTCTTGCAGCAGAGCAGCTCTTTTGACGTGAGCAAGCCTTACAGACTGCACCGCCCACCCTACTCTCGCAGCCCCGACCGAACGGGAGAACCCGCTCCCTCAGGCCCGGCCCAAATCCCCACCTCCGCCAACCCCAAGCCAGACCTTGAGACCCCTGAGAGGAGAAGCCACTCCTCTGAGCCACCACGAAGCCTGGAGAAGACTGCAGACTGCAGCGGCTCCTTCTCAGTTCGGCGCTCACGCCGGCTGGCATCGTTTCCCAGCCGCTTTGCCAAAAGGCTGCGGCCTGAACGGGCCAGGGAAGAAGACAGGAAGGAGGGACGGGTGGGGCTCAAACTGCCGCCCACCCAAGCTGGAGGGGAAAAGCGCGACGGAGACGTTGAGGGGAAAGCTAACGTCCAGTGAGCTGAGTCACCCCTGCTGCCACGGTACGTCACGCACGTCCTCCTTCGTTCGTGAAGGCGGGGCCTGCGAGTGTGACCTCGTCACAGCAATACTGACCTACATGCTGATGAGTTTGTACATGGCAGTGAGAGGATTTTTGTTGTGGTTGCAGAAAAGCCAGCCTGCCTGTGTCTGCCTCTCAACACAAAGTCTGCAGGGTGAGTATTCACAGCTCAGAGTACCTGTAGGTTTCATCATGCAGGTGCACCATAGTTATTTAGGCCGGAAACTTCACTTTAGGTTTACTAATGTTGAGCTGACAGCAGTGCAGAGGTGACTCAGCAGGCGCTCCACGCTGAACATACTTCAGATTATGATGCTGAGAGGATTGTTTCAGCTGTGCTAATCTAAAGCCTGTAAACATGCAAATGACTGTTAATCACTTGGAAACCATAAAAACCTCCATTCATTCGCTTCTTCCTGTTTGGGTATTTGCTTAATGATCTTAATTATAAAAATTTGAATGGTTGGCAGTTTGTCAGTGTGTGCACTGTTTGGGCTGACACTAAATTTAAGGCTCCGTGCAGGAACACAGGGACATCACTTACCCTGCAGTGAAACGGTCTCTCTCCAGTTGAGCTCACTTTTACTTCAGTATAAAAGACGCTCATGTTCATCAGAAGTTCTAGCATAAGGTAACCAAAACAGGAAGAACCATCACATTCCGGCTGCTCACCTGTGGGTCTGATGAGATTTCAGGATAAAAGGCTTCAGCACCATCCATGGGGCCATTTCTGAACTTTTAAGCCAGACCCAGATTCATCAGGACCCTGGCTGGTTTATCAGAATTTAATTTGGGCAGACAGAGTACTTTTTTGAACATTATTGAATGGTGATTGTGTTCAGGGCTCTAACGTGTCCTCTGCTTTGATCCGGCAGAGAGTCCCAGTACAGCACCAAGGCCTTTGAGCAGACGCTCAGCGTGGACCTGTGCGGAACGGCGGGTAAGCCTCTTGCTGCTGGGGCCCCACGCGATGACATCATAGCTGCACATGCTGTTTCTCGCTCATGTACTCAAGCCTTTGTCGTCCCCACTCAGGTCTCACCCCTCCCACGACTCCGCCTCACAAGCCCGTGGAAGACGAGCTGTTCAAGCCGGCAGACGGAGGAAAAGGTGGAGGTGGCGGTGGTGGAAGCGAGCCCGCCCACCCGGCTTCAAACAGCAGCGCTGCCGCAAAGACCTCGTCCTGGGCGAGCCGGGCTCACCACCAGCGGAAGCTGCCAGAGCAGACGGAGCTATACGCTCAGCTGAGGCGCATGGGCCAGGCCAGCGAGGCTGATGCCCACCGCGGCTTTGGTGACCATGATTATTGTCTGCTGAGCCTCGGCGAGAGCCGCAAGCGTAGCGCTGCCATCTTTGGCGCCATGTTACAGGGACGAGCAGAGAGCGAGAGAGTCTGTGCTCCAACTCCCAGAGTGGCCGAGGAGGAGCGGGAAGGGAAGGAGAGCGAAGACGGGCTGGTGCACCCGGAGGCTGCAGAGCCGCGGGAGCAGCTGACATCGTCATCGTCACCCCCATCAGACCGCCAGTCGGACGCTGCCACGCCGCCAGCTTCTGAAGAAGAGGCAGAGGGCTCGTCAGTGTCTCGCTCGCCCTCGCCCATCCCCCACCTGTTCCCCAACTCCCCCTCCAGCAAGAAAGACTCCAGGTAAGATGGACACTTGGGGGGGGAGGTAGAAGCAGAATCCCAGTGAGTCTTACATTGTCAAAGATTAGAGGTCATTATTTCTGGAACACAGGTTTTTTTCTTTGCCGCAGTCACCTGTTACCTGCTCGTGTCTTTCATTTTCACCTCGTGTCTGTCCTAATCTCACATTCAACCACCCCTGCTCTTTCAGTGAGAACTCGGAGATTTGTCCTGACGACACGCAGAGGATCAAAGCCAATCCTGACGAGGTACGTTCGTCGTTCCAGAGCCTGAGTGCTGATGTAGCCACAGTCAGGTGTGCCTCTGCGTACCTGAGAGCAGCTCTGCGCTCGGCCTCCCCTCGCTTTAGTTCACACATCTTTCAGTATTCTGTATTGTCCTTTGTCCTCACTGTTGCCATGGTTTCCCTGTTGCCAGGACAACTGCCAGGTGTTTTACATCCACAACCTGCCGAGCAGCGTGACCCAGAACATGCTGAGGAAACGCTTTCAGATTTTCGGCAAAGCAGAGGACTGCAAAGTCATCATCTGCAACGAGTAAGTGTGTGTGTGTGTGTGTGTGTGTGTCATTGAGTCTGTCCCGTGATTGGCCACAGCCCCTAAAGGTCAGAGAGGGTCACTTCCTGAGGGGCTCATTAAATGTGACTTTGAAATTTTAATTTAATGATGGCGCCCGCTCCTGTTGTTGCAGACAAACCCAAACATTTGGTGGTGTTGATGTAATAGTTTTGTTTTGGGGTCAGAGGCGAAGTCACTGCTTCATTGTATCCAGGATGTCACGTGTCTGCATCACGCCTTAAAGCACCAGTAAGCTAATGCACCGCCTTTCCTCTGCCGGCCTGTAGGGAGCGCTGCGGGGTGATAAAGATCCGCTCATCGGGCGTTCAGAAGCACTGGAGAGAGCGGGAAGGTGTTTTCCAGAACGGACCAGTGAGCCCGCGGAGGCTGACGAGGAAGCGCTACATAGACCTCGGTAATGAACGCACACAGCAGCACTCACAGGTGCACTCAGTAACCTGGACAGGTGTGTCAGTCATTAGTGCTGCAGAGGAAGAGCGCTTCAGCTACCGCAAAGCATCCTCCCGCCTGTAGAGGCGGGGCACGCACCCAGCTGTGGTTTGTTTCCCAGCAGCACGCCTGACCTGAAGCTTTGCTCTGTGTGTTTCAGATGAGGCGGGTCCCGGCCCGGTCAAGAGCAAGTACGACGCAATGGACTTTGACACTTTGCTGAAGGAGGCCCAAAAGTCCCTGCACCGCTGACAGAAGAGGTCCACCGTCTGGCCAGCCTTAGTAAAGAGCATCAGCCCTGCAGCGACGCGGCTCTGCCCTCAGACTGACTCCTGGTTCCTCCACGCAAGACGACCTCGCGAAATGTTTACATTTTTACCGTTGGAATAAACCATGAGGACCTCGTTTTTTTAAGTTCTTTCACCGGAGGACACTGCTCATAAACGAGGCGCTGCTGGGACCGCAGAGCGGTGCAGGGTCACTTCAGAGAGTTCGCTTCTGTGCTGCTTTCTTGTCTGCACTGGGATGCCGTCGCCTCGCTGTGGACAAGCGGGCGTGAGAGACCCAGTAGCAGATCCTTGCTATCCCTGCGTGGCGTTGGTTGTTGTGGTGTGTGTCCCCATGTGTTCGTTGTTCTGTTTGTTTTGTAAAATAAGAGAAATGCCCCTCTGAGGTCACGACAGGCGACTCTACGAGCTGCATTTGCTCGTGCGGTCGTATAACCCCAAAAAAGAACCTGCTTTGTTTCAGCGACAAATTGTGGATGTTATTAATTTTAAAATTACTGTGTGTGTGTGTTATGGACAAAGAATATAAGAAAACATTTAATGTAATTATTTTATGACTGAGAAAGTTTACAAATCTAATATGAAGAAAAAAAAATCATGTTTTTTCCTTTTTGTAATTGTAGTGCTTCCTTGATTTGATCTATGCACTGTAAGGACGCACCTGTTTCTGCTGTCCCTCCCTCCGATCTCCGCCATGCTAACGTTACGGCTGCTGCTGCTGCTGCTTCACACACGAAGGCTTTCGGGATTTGGGAAAAGTGTTCCCGCACTCGTTCACACGCACTGAAATAAGATGTGAGTTTACTTGAACGCCTGGAGGCGTGGCCTGAGATGGAGGCATAGGCACAGATTAGTTTGCCCACATCCATCAGAACCAGGACGAAAGTTGGAAACACTTTTCCCAGATCTTAGAGCCTCCCTGTCTCCCTGATGAGAGCCCCCCAACCGCCAATGCAACCGTTACTGTTTACATCTGGACAGCAGCAAGCGTGAGGAAAATGGAGAGCGCTCTGTACAAATCCAGCACTTTGTCCAGTATTCACCCCTTGAAGCTGCTCATCAGCCCTGTGGGGCCAAGAGCTGCCCGCGGGTCACGTGTGTGGGCCGGCCGCGGCGCGAGCCTTGCCCTCGACAGCATGCAGAAGGATCGGCTGGTCTCGTGGAATGTATTCGAGGACCTGAATGTAATCGTGGCGTTTTCCCCGTTTCTGCTCGCCCAAAGATTGTGGAGCTCTCCAGTGCTTTAAAAGGCTACACTGGCAGGGCTGCGTGCGCCGCTCCGGCCTCAGCGGTCGTCCGCTTGCGGCCGATTTACATTCCCGGCGCAGCTAGCAGCAGCAGCACTCCGTCAAAGGGAGAGAGCCTCCACAGCTGCCGGCGAGGTGGCATGATATGGCCCGAGGACGAGCAAGGGGCCGGCCGAAAGGGAAGGAACAGAGCGGGGGTTTCCCGCCTGCTTCAGATGAGCATCTCTACCTCACATCCATCCGCCCCCGCCCTTTGTCTGTGTACGCTCTCCCCCTCCTCTTTTATAAGTGTCTGTCACTGGTTTCTTTGCTCGGTGTTCTCGGTGTGGGGCTTTTCTCTGCTGATGGGCGGTGTGGGTGGGTTTCTTTTAATACTGCGACTCCTACCACTACTAGCCACGATGGGGGGCTACTCTCTGTGTCCGGGGCCGCCTCACGGCGGTCCTCGGCGTGTCTGTTTCTTAGAGTCTCGACCGTGTCCTCGTGTAGCTGAGTGTTTCGTCTTCGTCTCGTGTTTGAGTTGGACACTACTGATGCTAACCCTAACCTGGGCCGGGCCAGGGGGGCGTAGCAGGTCAGGTTACCCGTCTTTCCCTCGTTCTTCCTCGGGAATGCGCCCAATCCTGATCTCCTGCTCATCCTCGCTCCCGGCCCGACTCTCGCTCTCTCTCTTGCTCTCTCTCTCTCTCACTCTCTCTCTTTGGGTTTGAGGGTTCCGGGCCTTTCCCAGACTCCTCCCACTTCTTTCCCCTTCCTCTTCCTTTCTCTATCTAATCGACTTGTTGGTAACACACAAAAAATTGAATGTTTACATCACTTGATTCTCGTCTGACTTTATTAGGAACGCACACTAAGTACAAAGGCGCCTTATTCAGTGTTTCAAACTAAAACAACAGCAAGCAAAGTGTCGCGGGGGGGCCGCACCCCTCCCCCAAGGCTCACTGATGTCCAAAACGTATACATACTGATGGAGGAACAAGAACCCCTGAATGAGTATTTGTGCTTAGTATGTATACTACTCAAAAGTGAGAGAATGTGCTGGTTTACATGTTAAAAAGAAATATATGAGTATATAATGTGTACATAGCACTATGCCTCATTGTAAACATAAAATGTATTGTGTGTTTTTGTAAAGGTGGTGGGTCACTGTTGATTCTGAATCAGGCGGGAGGTGCTGGTTTGGGTCGGGGAGGAAATCCAACACTGTAGTTCCCTTTAGTCCGTCACACTAGCACGTCCCATTTCTTTGCTGTTTATGAAACGATTCGTTTTGTTTTCAGTTTTCTGAAAAAGCAATTTAAGATGCAATACGTAATAATCTTCTGATTACAGCCATCCTCACATCCTGAGGAAATATGTGTGGGTGGTGCTGAGGTGTACTGCCGGATGCTCTGTGCGCAGACCGCAGCGGGAGGAAAGCGGTGCGTCGTGAATGGCCATCTGAATTTACTCTTGCACAAAATTGTCACAAACGGTGAAACGGCGTTTCCCATCAAAGAGCCAATGGGAAGGAGTTTCTGTCGTGTGTCAGCAGCAGCCGATCCACACCGCGACCAGAACACGGGATGTGAGAGGGGGGAAACAAAAGGAAGCTGTCGCCGGTTTGACCCTGTTAAATATCTGCGCCCCCCCCCCCCTCCCCCCGTAGAGGCACAGGTGTGTGGGCGGAGTTTCTGGCTGAGGTTTCCGCCCTGCTTTTAATTTTAAAATCTGAGACCGAGAGGGGTTTCTGCAGTCAGTCCTCCAGGTGAACGACATCAGCTACCCCCGTCTCCAAACGGCAAGCCTTAAAAACCAGCCGGGGGAACCACTAGCTTTTATTATTACTGTTTAACCTCCTTTCCAATCCAATGTGGTTTATTATTAAATAATTACTGACGTAATTACAACTTTTTTCAATAGCCATATTATAAAAAATATATACATATATATGAATATATATTTGTGTGTTTGTGTAGATATCTAGATGATTATATACTTTCTTATAGAAAACTTTGATGTTGATCATTCTCCTGAGTGTTTTGAGAACACATTTCAGCATACATACATATATATATATATAAAAGTGCTGTCTGCCTGGTCTAGGTCCTAGGTCAGCAGGCAGCAAATCCAAATAATTTTTAAAAAAAAACCTTCCAAAGGGAATACCCTCGTCACAATGCAATACCTTTCTTTCCACTCTTCCTTTCAGAAAAATGGGAAATGGCAAGAAAATCATTTGTTAGGCAGGTTAACCAAAAAAAATTTAAAAAATCTTCAGTAATAAACAGCTTGGCTCGCAGCTCGTGGAAAAACACGTAACGTCTTGGGTTTTCTACGTTGGCGACGCCGTGGCCATTTAAAAAAAAAACGCGTCCGATCACGCCTCATTTCACGTCTTGTCGGGTTTTTGATTTGAGAATGGAGCCCAGCATCGACGCGTCTCTATCTGCTAAATGTGAGTTTGGAAACTCGACAAAGGGCATACTCGTTTCATCGTTTCTCATTTCTATTGATTTACTGTCTATTTACATCTAATGACTATCAGATTCACAAATTCTTATTTTTTCTTTTTTAACTTAGTTTTTGGTAAAAGACAAAAAGGTAAATACTGCTAGTGAGATTTTATATTTTTACATATGTTGGTTTTATTTTGCGTGTCTTCTTTTTTATTTATATGCCACTTAGTTTGGACGTCTTTGGTTTTGTGTGAATTCATATGTCTGCAGAATGTGGAGACAAAGGCATTTCAGTATTTTTGAATTGTTAAAATCTAGTTTCATAGAAGCGGAGTATCTGATGTTATAAATTATATTTTAATTCATGTAAATAGTTTAAAACAGAAGATTATGGCTTCCTTTTAAACTGAATACATTTCTCTTCAGAGATTGTTTACATTATTAAACTGTAGAGATGTGCTCCTCATATACTGTATAAAGTACATATATTCATTGATTTGCCTCCAAAAATAAAATCCTAATGAACAAACCTTCAGTGCACGTGCTGCTTTTTGGCACAAACGGGCGAAGCCACCGGAAGACCACCCAGGTCTCCAGCCGTTTGTCAAGGCCGAAAATTGGAACCACTGACTCTGTCCCACGTGAACAAGCTTTTTCTGCTGTTTTAATGCAGCAGTCTGTGGTTCGCCAGCTTCAGCCCACAGTATGTTCAGTTTTCATGCTGTCACCACCTGTCATACAGCACCAATCGCAGCAGTAGTCGTCTAAAGGTGCTTTACACAATCAGACCTCCCCTGTAAACAACGTTTGGCGACAGTGGGAATGAAGAACTCCCTTTTAACCGGGAGAAATCTCCAACCAAACTGGGGTAAGGGAGGCCTCCTGGCTCTGTACAAATCCATCACTTCTGCACTTTGTCCAGTATTCACCCCTCGAAGCTGCTCATCAGACCTGCAGGGCCAAGAGCTGCCCACAGGTCACGAGTGCAGGCCGGAGGCGAGTGTGGAGGGAACGGCTGGTTTCTGATACAGGGACGTTGTTAGCAGAGTGGAAGTGCTTTTTTTATAGGCGGATTTTCAGAATAATACTCATGTTGTGCTGATGTACGAAGGAGAACTGCAATACTGCATCCAATACTTCCACTGCTAGAGACGGCCAGTTTCCTGTAAATAGGATCAAATAAGAACTCAGTGTTGCTGGATCCAGTCCTGAGAGTAAATGTCACTTCTGAAAAATTACTGCATCTCATATTTCCAAAATCGTCTCCGGAGCCAAAAGTGGTTAATACTAAACTCTGTGACTTGGTACGTCGTGCACGGGGATGTTGAGTGCATGTCACAGTAAACTACGCTGACGCAAATAAATTTTAGTCACTGTGCCGTCCGTTTGACTGACGAGACACGGTTTCTGTCTCCTGAATCAAAACTGGAAGCTGGTTCCACACAAGAGGGGCCTGAAAACTGAAGGCTCTCCCTCCCATTCTACTTTTAAATACTCTAGGAACAACAAATAAGCCTGCAGTGTGAGAGTGAAGCACTCTAATGGAGTGATTTGGTACTATAAAGTCATTAAGATAAGATGGGGCCTGATTATTTAAGACCTTGTATGTGAGGAGCAGGATTTTGAATTTCAGAGCTGAAAAATGAGGTTGGCTTTAAACCACCAACCACTGCAGTTCCTCTAGCATCCAGCAGAGGCAGTAGTGAGTCACTCCCATAGAGTCCCATGTTAAAATAAACGTGTTTCCAGCCTGATACACAGCCTGTTCTGATCTCTATAGATAATTTCCCCCTTCACAACGGCAGGGGGCGGGGGTTCTGTAAGTCACATTACGTGTTAAAGTTTGCACATTTAGGGCGTGTGTCCTCTTTAACTGACAGGCTGATGGTGACATGGTAACTGGATTGTTGTCACTTTGGTTTCATTTTGAGGATGGGGCGGAGTCACACCGGTCCAGATCTGGAGGATGGTGCATGCTGAGTGGGATTCGATGCAGATGAGCTGCCTGTGGGGGTGTGTTTGTCCTGCAGCCCTGCGAGTGCAGGAAAAATGGTAAAACCTTAATGAGCGTGTGCCTGGCCACGGCCTTACCTGCTCTCTCTCATACAGAGGAGGACATGCCCTCTCTCCAGTCTTCCCCTGGTTAAACAGCATACTATTAACAGGCCACTGGCGAGTTTCCGGCTGGCTGGGCCGTGATTCGCACGTCACTGAGTGCACTGATGATTGCGCACGAGGCAGCACTACACCAGCACTGCTGCACTCGTGCTCTTGACTCTGCTGCGATTCCCACGCCAGCAAAAACACAGAAGAACATCCCAGAATCTGATCCTGATGCGTGGGGAGCGTGGAGGCAAGAAAGGAAGGACTAAAGATACGAATATCTGCAGTTTGATGTTCTGATTGTCCAATTCCACAGAGGTGTCATCAATCCTCTCGGTTGAGATTGCAGTCTGTCTGTGAGCTCTATGGTGAGCCAAAGTTCAGAATTACATTCTAATTTCAAATCAAATATATTGAATATTGAAGTTGGAAATTACGTAGTGTTACCCAACAAACCACGACCACAGGTTTACGCTCCAAGCAGTGCTGGGAAGGTTACTTTTAAAATGTATTCCACTACAGATTACAGAATGCATGCCTCAAAATGTATTTTGTAATGTATTCCGTTAAGTTACTCAATGTGAGTAACATATTCTGAATACTTTGGATTACTTAATATATTGTCATGCTTTTTACAACTACACAAATGTCGCTATCACATCCTGCAAGTCCTTGTTTGTTTTTCTTTACCAATTAGCTGTTAAGCCCAACTTAAGATAATATATGTAATGTAGAGGAGCAAAGACTTGGGTATGTTTGTATAAGCTGTTTTGTCTTCTTAAAGATAATAAAAAAGCACCGTCTTTCCTTAACATTTTTTTTATATATAAACCTGACAAGTGGAAGACAAACATAAAATATGCCATTGAAAAGTATTTACTGTTATGGTCACCAACATCACTTAGTTCAAATAAAAAGTAGCCTTGCAGAAGGAGAAAAAATATCAGCATTTTCAATGACTGTTTTCTTATTAGGACAAGAAAGGATATATATAAAATTATACTCAAAAATTAAAAATATCTTATTTTGGCATTTACTGTCAATATTATTCTTCCACCAATTATTTTAAATTACAAAAGATTTTTCAATACAACTCAGATATTCAAACTCAATGTAACAATGAGAAATTACATTTTAAACCTTACCCCTATAATTTTTAAAACAAGACAATATATGTTTTATGCAACTCAGCAACATTACCTTATGGCCATTTAACAAAGGCATGCAACAAAGAACTGTCCAAGGTGTCAGTGCTGAACTGCTTGGTTAAAAACCTTAATTGGGCCCAAAAATCAAATAATTGGCGAACAATTGCAGTAAACATATGAGGTGCTGCTTTTTGAATGCATGCCAAAAACAAATACTAAAGACTACAAAATACTGAGGTTGCAAGCCCTATCTGTGAACAATACCAAGATAGTTTCAGCAGACTACCTACATCTGTTTCGCCTAGTCTACAGTCCAGTAAAGGCGGTTGTAACGCAGCAAGAGCACCTGTTCAAAGTGTTTGTCTTGTACTTTAAGAAGATGGCTCTGATCAATGAATATCTCTTTAATGAGGTCAATGTCTTATCTGAATCTTTAAGATACCTCTGTACCTCATCCTCCGCTGTAGAACAGGTCACCTGTGTACTCTGAAAACTGAAGAAGCTGTCATCATCATCTTCCGGCTCATTTCCCACTGAGGCAT